TATCTATCTATCTATCTATCTATCTATCTATCTATCTATCTATCTATCTATCTATCTTTGGTTTTTCGAGACTGGGCTTCTCTGTGTAACAGTTCTGACTTTCCTGGAACTTGATGTGTAGACCAGGCTGGCCTTGAACTCACAGATGATTCCCCTGCCTGAGTGCTGGGATTAAAGGCATGGGCCACCACACCCCACTTCAGATCAGTTTCCTGAAGGCATTGATTTTGTGGGGGAATGGGTTCCCTTGTACTTGGAGAGAACGTGGACCGATTTTTTAGAGGTCACCGAAGTGAGCTTGTTCCTGATTCTGTGCCAGCTTGGCTTGTTTCACTGGTTATTCCAGGTTTTCTGCAGACTCCGTCATTGATATGGAATTTGTCAAGCTCTTCTTTAACTCTGCTAAATTTCAGGTCCTATTTCCCGGCTGTGTTCTGGGGTACACACAGATTTGGAGCTGCGGCATCGTTCTGATAGATCATTCCCTCTGCCGTTAGTAAGCACCACATTTTATCTCTGACAAAGACGGACGCATCCTTGAAGTGGGAAGGGCGGTATGTCTTTCTTGACCCTGTCCTTCTGGTTGCTTGGCATGTGGCTGGACATCAGGCCGCCACTTTGTCCCCCAAACTGGAGGGACCAAGGCTCGTGCCAGCGTGTGCCAGAGCGAGATGTTGGCTGTGTCCACCGAGCAACTCATACATGTATTTGACTGTGGGTTTCATTCATAGCCCTCATACATATGGATATTTGCTTATACGTTTTATTTGTGTATCTCATACATATGGATATTGGCTTTTGCATTTCACTCATGTACTACCATCAATCTGCATGGGAGGTACTAATCAGGGACTAATTTTGCCTCTGCTGAAGATCATAATGATTAGGAGGAGAGATTCTGGTGAGATTCCTCCTATATCCAGGGGCCTGTCAGTTTCCCCTCTGGTGTATGGGGAAGGATATGGGTGTGGGGCTCAAGACTGGAGGTCCTTAGAGAGCAATGGTCCCAGCATGATCATTATATGTAAGTTCAGGAGCTTGGGAGTGTGTTCAGAGGGTATTCCCACATTTCCCTATTTCATTCTCTAGCAAGAACGAAAATATGCATCAGACACTGAAAGTCCAGTGTGGAGAAAATGTCAGGAAGGTGGACAGGAGACAGAATCCTGCTGGGCACAGTGGGTAAAATTCCCTGTGCAGACCAAAAGCAGAGAGAAGGAAGGTGAGGCCTGGGAAGGAGTGGGCAGAGGAATAGGAAGCCAGGAGAAAGCTAGTGGGAAAAGGTGAGGGACTGGAGGGTGAGGACACAGGGCCAGATTTGCATTGAGGCTTGACCTCAGCTGTGCTAAGCTAGGGCGCATATGGGAAAGGGCAAGAGAGAAGGTTTTAAAATGGTCGGGGGGGGAGGGGGGGAAGGCTGAAGGGCATGTGGGGAAGGGTACCAGTGCTGTAAAGGAGGGTTGCTTGGCTCCCTGGGAAGCTCCAGAGCCCATGTGCTGGCTCTGCAGCCCTCCAAGAAATGGACGGGACTGGTCCCTTTGGCAACCAATGCTCCACCATCCTGCCCTGGTTCATTTACCCCTACGTGTCTTTGTTTTCCCTGATCGGGTAGTGGGGGCCGGGTAGGGAGAAGGGAGAGTAGTCATGGTTTCAGAGTGTCAGCTCCCAGTTGGGCTTTGGATAGTCCCAGGGCAACCACCGGTATCCTTCTGCCACCCAGCTTCCGGTTCCCAGGAGACAAGCTGACCACCAATGTGTGTGTTTTTCACTTCTGCTCATAAGGGTTGGGAGCTGGACACACCAAACAACTGTCCCAGGTAGAGGGGTCAGACTGTGGGGCCATGTGGGACTTCCTGGGAATGAATGGATGAGATCATTGTCATCATTTTTTCCCCCAGGACAGGGTTTCTCTGTGTAACCATGGCTGTCCTGTTCTAGTCACTCTGTAGACCAGGCTGGCCTTGAACTCCCGGAGAGCCAGCTGCCTCTGCCTCTGCCCCCCGGGTGCAGAGCACCACCACTGGCCTGAGATCATTATTATTATTACTTTTTTGTTCTAGTTTCATTTCTTTTCCTGTGGTAAAAATACCTAACAGAAAGCAATTTAGGGGACATAGGTTTGTATTAGCTTATGGTTTTTTTGGTGACAGTCCAGCATTGTGAGGAAGGTGGGAAAGTGAAGGCAGGAACTTCAAACATCTAGTCACATCATGTCCAGACAAGAGCAGAAAGAAATGAACTTGCGCATGCTCACTTGCTGGCTCTCTTGGGCTCGGCTTAATTACTCCACTCTTACATAGCTCAGGACTCTGACCAGGGAACAGGACTGAGCATAGTAGGCTGGTTCTTTCCACATCAACTAAATTAACTAAACGGTTCCCAGCAGACATGCTCTCAGGTCAATTCAATGTAGACAATTCCTTCTCAGGTGACTCCAGGTTGTGTCAAGTTATCAATAGAAATAACCACCACGTCTTGCTCTACAGCCTAGTCTGGCCTGGAATTTACGATCCTCCTGCCTCTGCCTTCCTGATGGAGGCATCACAGATGTGTCTCCGCATTCCTGTATCAACCTCTGATGTTGAATCACAAGCAGGCATCTGAGTACAAAAGAGGTGACTTTTCCCCCAGATCCCCTGTCTCATCAAACTTCTGGCCTCTTTGGCCTTTGAGAAGCTGAGAACCTGATACAACCTCATTCCCCGTCCACCTAGAGGCACCAGGGCTCAGAGGAGCTCCCACCCCTCAAGGGCTGTTCTAACCTTCCATAACCTGTAAGCTAGCATTGCTACAGTGGACAGCAGTGAAGATGCGACAGCAGAGGTCGGGGCCACAGGAAGGGATGGGGCCTTCTCGGAGCCTTAGCTGTTGGTGGATGCCCGCAGGCTGTCTATGACCCATCCTAGGTGGAGACTCTGCTAAGAGCACAAGGCCTGAGATGGGGCCTCTGTGGCCTGGGCTCTTCCCACTCTTCCCAGTTCCCAACACTGCCTGTTGGACCCAGTGCATAGCTTTAGAGTGGGTCTCACCAGGTTGCTGGGGGATCACATGGGTACTTGGGTGCTCATTGCTGCATAGGTAGGTGGCTAACCCCTCCTAGGGTCCCAGCTCTTTAGGATTGGGGCAAGACTCAGTCAGAGGGTGATCAATGACCCCGCTTTTCTAGGTCAGTGATGTTCCTTGGAACACAGGGCTTTTGAGGCCTGGACCAGGAAGGATTTGTGTCATCCTGCTTCAAGATGCTGCTGGTCTCAGTGTCTCTCCTTGACCCAGAGTCCCAGGAGCCATGTCTAGGGACAGCGAGGCATCGTGCAGGAGTGGTGGGAATCGTGCCGTGTGGGCACATCCTCTCCTGGAGCTCAGATTTAGGGTAGTTTTCACCAAAATGGTAAAGCCTTTTCACAGGTTCCCTGGGAACAGTGCCTTCCAGGGCCTCTCCTGGGCCATGGTATTGATGAAGGAACAAAGCTGGATTCAGGGCTGCTGAGGTCATAGGCACAACACAGGCCATCTCAGAAAAGCAAGAGCAGATGCCTGGATGGTGATGTCATGTTCTGGGCCATTCCTGAAGACTGGGTATATAATGTCACCAGTTGTAAGACTTGAGGACTACTCTCTGCTGCAAGCCCACCCCCTGTTCCCAGGAAACGAATCTCAAACAGCTCAGAAGATGAGAGACCGTAGACTGAGCCAGATGGGCCTGCTGTCCTGGTGAGCCAGATATGGTTCTGACAAGGTGAGAACCTAGGAGCACAGGACTCTCAGAGCTACAAGGATCCCTGGATCTGTTCTGCTCTCTCTCTCTCTCTCTCTCTCTCTCTCTCTCTCTCTCTCTCTCTCTCTGTGTGTGTGTGATGTAGGTCAGAGGACAACTTTAGGTGTTGATGCTCACTCCCCACCTTTTTTTCGAGACAAGGGCTCTTATTCACAATTGCCAACCCTCAAACTTCCAGCAATTCTCCTGCCTCTAAGCTCCTATTTTCTAGTAGAAGCATGCTGAAATTACAGACCCACATTCCACTTTTTACTTTTTCACATGGGTTCTGGGGATCTGAACTCATG